CTAAAAGCTAACAAGAACAATGTTTGTGAATAAACATTGACAAACGATCATGGGGCAAAGCTAAAACAATTGCGTCGTGGCTCCTTCCGTTAGTACCTTCCATGGACTATCCGATACGCATTTCCTTTCGCGGGAAATGAACTCGTGGTTTCAAACGCCCCCTAGTGACTGGTTACAGTGTACTATGATTGACAGTTTAGATTAGCATACCGAACGCCTATAGCTGGCGCGTGGCCAAGCTCTGGTCGAATTATTTGTCTGCTGTAAAAAATATATCCCTCCGCAACTGTAGTTTTCAAACTCCGAAATTGAAAATAAAAGCATTTTGTTACACACTAATGGCACTACTCTGTGACAAATTATATTATATGTATGTAGCGACATAAATTTTGGCAATTTAAACAACGTTAATCCACTTGACCTCACGCGGGGGGAACTATTTGGCGGTTGCAGAAAAAGGTTATCCCAGAGTAAGCCCTCAAATTTTCGCGCCATTTTCCAGTGAAATTGTAACCCAAAATAATTGCAAACCGGGCGGCCATTGTTAATATCTGGAAGAAATCGAAGCGTAATTCTTCCGTTAAAATGCCTCCTTCGGACACAGAAAACTCCGACGTAAGGGAAAGATATGAGGAATTGTGCCGAGATCTAAATATGGACACTGTCGCAATGGAAGAAGCCTGGCAGACCTTCGAAAATATCAGTACTAACTATACGCTGGAGGTATGTTTTTTAAATCGACAATATATATGCATATTCTGGCGTCCATTTAACTTTGTTCAGCAAGATTGAATACGAAGTACTTGCTCTCATTTATTAATATATATATATATATATATTTAATTTATATTGCTATATAAATCTGTCGAGCTTATATATAAAGTGTGAAATTAAAATATCGACTATGTATATCTTATCTTGGCACAGGGAGACGATCTTCACTGGTTGGCTTGCGCTTTGTATGTTGCTTGTCGAAAATCCGTTGTTCCAACTGTTGGGAACTGCGAACCAGTTGTTGGCAACTGTGTATCTCTAACGAGATTGTTGAGGTCAACGAAACTGAGGTAGGTCTACTAATTTGGTTAACTGACATCAAGTCGAATTCCACCTTGTTTTGAAATCGTACGGAACAACGGTCATTGTTTTGGAATGAATACAGCCCAAAGGCGCGTGTTGTTTGAATGAAACGTGCACACTCCGTCGATTGCACATGAAAACATCAAGACACCATTTGCATTTGCAAGCTTGTCTTTTGCCATGTAACGATATTAATTCAATATATAATCACAATAAATAGTTTTTATTTCCACATACGTTCGATTGTCAATTGAAATCAGGAAGTCACTCAGGTTTGGATGGTCCCGCCTCTCAGCGCATTGCGTGCGGGTACAACGTGTGGTGACAAGTTTGCAACAAATTAGTCTTTTTGTTTTGACAGCCTGATACAATTTTTCAATAAAATGAAGAAATGGGAAGACATGGCGAATCTGGCTCGGGAATTTCGTGATAAAGTCGATCGCCTGGAGCGTAACTTCGCAGTGTCAACTGTGATATTCAAAAAATTCGAGCCGATCTTTATGGACTTGTTTAGGAGTCCTGCTGATGATCAACCACGGCACCCAAGAGGTCGCAAACAAAGGTCAGTACCCTTTCTTTCATTCCATAGCTAAGTGTGTATTGCAAGATAATCACATGCAAGACATTTGAAAAGAATTGTACACAGGTAATTATGATAATACTGACCAGCTGTTTTTCCTGTTATGAGTAATCTCATTGCTTCCTAAAAAAAAATGGACACCCATTCATCAATTAAAGCTTGGCAAAAGTCTTTTATTTCTTTCGAATATTTTGAGTAGGCTGCCTCATTGCTGTAAAAGGGCATATGCAGAACAAAAAAACTTGTAAATTTTCAAGATAAATATGCTGTATATTGCAAATTACAGAGTCAATACATATGACTATAAAGGGAGAAAAAATATGATTTTTCAATTTGAAAGTTTTTTGTATTTTTTTTTTAAACTTTAGAATCAATAAAAAAAAATAAGGGTACCTACTGTAAAATGACTAATTTTCACTGGGTTAAAATTTCACTGATTTACCATTTCAGGCATAATCAGTGGGTTTTAAATTCACGGTTTCGTCATTTAGATAATGTGTTCTATGTTAAATTTTACATATTCACTGTGTTTTAATTTAGCGCATTTTTGCAGTCAGCGAAATAAGCTAAATTAAAACCCAGTGAATAATTACCCCCTTTACAGTATATGTTTCAGTAGTTCGCTGTATGCTAATTAATGCATGGCCGATAAGACATGTACTTGAGTGAGAATGTTGGTCGTCCAGATAGAGCATATCCTTGTTGATCACACAGAATACAGATAAAATGAATTTGATCTTTTTTGCATCGGCTGGCGAATTCATTTTGAAAAAAAAATGTTTTGTTCAATAAGACCAAAAAAAAAAAAAAACTTATGTTGCCCTCAAGTCGGAAAATTAAAAAAATCGGTCGGTCGGTCGGATTTTTTTTTTTTAAACTCGTGAAAACTTTATAAGGGAATCGTAAATAGCCGAGGTATATGGGAATCAATTAAACGCATGCTAGATATAATTATTAAACACAAAAATATTTCTTTCAATCTTTTGGTGTTAAAATACAGATAAACTCGAGGTTTAAAGTCGTCACTTATCCCCCTGGGGATGAAGCAACGGTCCGGGATCGTTAATTTTTAGAGGAAACATGGTTAGTTTTTAATATTTAGGCCTATTAAAAAAAAAAAAAAACCAGACCTGATATTTCATATTTTTTGGGTGGTCGCTGAGGGCAAGAAAACAATTTTTTTTTGGCCTGAATGCCAATATTATCATACGGTAACAGTTAATTTTTATAGAAATAGATCAAATTTCTTGCATACACAACCATACAAATAAGCATATTTAGGGATTGCGAAAAGTAATAGAAAAAAAAAACTCCACACATTCTCGAAAACGAAAGGAAAAAAAAAATCACAGCATCAATCAGGAAAAAAAATGTGGCTCAAAACTTGGTGAAGAGAAAAAAATAATTTAGCATAGTAGTTATACCACTACCTGGAGCTTTCCAATTTATCCAAAAATCACTAAAACTCTTTGTAAAAATTTGCAATTTAGTTTGTGTTGGGTTATATGAAATTTTGCTTGGTCACATTGGATGAAAAAGTTGCATACAAATTTCATCTTGTATAAAGGTTTTTCTAAGATGATGGTGTGATATGCAATTAAGCTCTCAATATGAAATCGCATGAAATGCAAAGTAATCGCTGACAAAGGTAAATTTCTAGGAATGCAAATGAGCGTATCTGTAAAAAAAAACACAGGTGAGCGTTCCTCTTGGGCTATTTCTGCTAGTACATATGAGCAGTGTTGATATTACATGTGTATTTTGAATATAGTGATGATCTCGTTCATTTCTGTTTACGTCATTAAACCTTTCCATTCCTCCTCCGCTTTCTGGTAATACCATAGGTTAAAAGTGCGTTTGGTTGACACGCTGTCACTGTAGCTGCATCTGTTTTATTTATGGACATGTCAAATTTCAACTAAAATTAGAATAGCAACCCGGTATATGTGCTCACAATGTTGCCTGAATATTTGTAATTTTTGCCAAACATGAGCAACTTTCAGAATAATTAAATGGTAATGTAATGTTGCAAATGGGTTTGTGTGAAACTGAAACATCTGAGAATTCTGTGGATTTCACTTTCGCTAAAAAATAAAAATTGCCTGTGGATATTTTCGCTTAATTTTATCTTCACTAATTTACTCATCAAAGAAAACAAATTCCAAGTAAATCTTGTATATCACTGCCAAACTGCTGCTCTATAGATCTTAATTATTAGTTGAGTTTTATTTTCATTTTTTGCTGATAGCTAAATGTGTTAAATTTAAAAACCTAGTAAATATTCAAATGTAACAATATTTTCTTCATGAACCAGTGATTATAAAACCATGTTAACTACCTCTGCAACATCAAATCCACTAAAATTAAACCCAGTGCTTCACCATTTAGGTGCTCATATTATAAAGGCTCAACACAGTGCTGTGGTCCACTATTGTCTAGTATTGTTGTAAGAGAGGTTTATGCAAGTCTAAAAACAACAAAGATGATGTCATCGTTTATTTTAGGGTTTATAAACAATGATTGTTACCTAAAAAAAAACAACACTGGGATTTAAATAATCCAGAGTGACAGCAGTGATTACCTTTAGTGGGGAGTGTTAATTATTTAGTGTTACAACAGATTCTTGTACGAAACAATTTTATTATGGTTACATTGCCCATATGTTTATGAATACGACTATGTATGTTTCACCTTGCGTCAGTTCCCATAATAACAAGAATGGGGGAAAACATGGAAATTCCTCATTAGAAGCTAATCTACAATCATCTGAGGGGATTACATGAAATACTTATTGTATAGAGCTGTTGGTGTTTAATTGGCATTTCTTTTGTCAAAATTGAATTTTGTTGATGAGCAAACAAAGTTTACTTAGGGTGATTGATGTCATTACTTGGTTTTTAAATCCAAATGTGGTATCTACAGCTCAGAATCCAGCTATTCCGAGTATACAGTAAAATACTTAAATTTCGCTTAGAATTAATTTTTGCTTTTTTCGCTAAAGGAAAGATTCAGTGAAAATAAAATCTAGCGAATATAATTTTTTTCCTATATTTTACATTCAACTAGTCAAAAATCATTGAAAATAAATTCCATACAAAACACGCAAAAAGTCTTTTCAGCGAAAATTAATTCCAGCTAAAATAAAGTATTTTACAGTACTCAAGAATGGCCTGGTAAATCACCGTGTAACTACGTAGTCAACACAGAATTCTGTTTTATCACTAATTGGCTGTCACTCCATACTACATTGCCATGGGAACTTGCATGCGCAGACTAACCTGTATGCAAGGTCTGCCCACAACACTTCACATTGATTTTATTCACATTACCAAAATTTGTACCAGCAGGGAGAATCAGTGCTATCAATGTAATTATGTGTATGTCATAAAGTTAAATTGTATTGAACATCCTAGTTAATGTCGCATACATGTTTTCAGATATTCACTGTTCTAAATTTGTTGGGTTTTCACATGTTAACTGTTGTCCTCAATGTGTTGGGTTTTATGCATTCACTGTTCTAAATGTGTTGGGTTTTCAGGTGTTCACTGTTTCGAATTTGTTGGGTTTTCAGGTGTTCACTCTTCTACTCAATGTGTTGACTTTATGCATTCACTGTTCTAATTTTGTTGGTTTTTCAGGTGTTCACTGTTTCAAATTTGTTGGGTTTTCAGGTGTTCACTGTTCTACTCAATGTTTTGAGTTTTGTGCATTTACTGTTCTAAATTTGTTGGTTTTTTCAGGTGTTCACTGTTCTACTCAATGTGTTGAGTTTTATGCATTCACTGTTTCAAATTTGTTGAGTTTTCAGGTGTTCACTGTTCTAAATTTGTTGGGTTTTCACATGTTGACTGTTCTATTCAGTCAATGTGTTGGGTTTTATGCATTCAATGTTCGAAATTTTTTGTTTTTTCAGGTGTTCACTGTTCGAAATTTCTTGGGTTTTCAGGTGTTCACTCTTCTACTCGATGTGTTGACTTTATGCATTCAGTGTTCTAAATTTGTTGGTTGTTTTCAGGTGTTCACTGTTCTAAATTTCTTGGGTTTTCAGATGTTCACTGTTCTAAATTTCTTGGGTTTTCAGATGTTCACTGTTTTGCTCAGTATGTTGAGTTTTCATGTGTTCGCTGTTCTCAATGTGTTCCCGTGTTTTAAAAGTCTCTGTTCGATAAAACAATTTCTTGGACAAGCATTGACAAATTTCTGTCAAATCAAAGACAATTGATACAAGATGTCATTTATATGCACATCAATTTCAATAAAATATGGCTGACTAGTGGCCATTTCTGAAATAAAATAGTTAACAGTTGATTATTGGAAATGACTGGGCCAGATAACGCCATATACCGTACAATCATAAACCTGGGAGCCTGAACGTGTAAAATTCGGAAAAATTAGGGGGTTGGCTTATACTTGAGGACTACCTCAGAAAAAACAATTTTAATTTTGTAACCATCCTCCCACCCTCGTTCACAGCGCTGGTCTTGGAGAAGTATTACGTCTTTTTGAGGAAAAAAATAAGAAACTAGTCGTCATTGATTTCCTCAACACTTTTTACCAACAAACGTTCATTAAAATGCACACATTTGAGATCACGTACTTGATATAGTGGAGGGATATAACAATATTAGTGTCAGTGAGTTGCCTATGAGGTCGCGTACTTGATATAGTGGAGTGATATAACAATATTAGTGTAAGTGAGTCGCCTAAGAGGTCACGTTCTTGAGTTAGTGGAGGGATACAACAATATTAGTGTCATGGGTTGCCTATGAGGTCGTGTACTTGATATAGTGGAGGGATATAACAATATTAGTGTCAGTGAGTCGTCTATGAGGTCACGTACTTGATATAGTGGAGTGATACAACAATATTAGTGTAAGTGAGTCGCCTATGAGGTCGCGTACTTGATATAGTGGAGGGATACAACAATATTAGTGTAAGTGAGTTGCCTATGAGGTCACATACTTGATATAGTGGAGTGATAC